GGCCGTCTCAGCATTTGCTCAAGGATCAGGGATACTGGACGAAAACGTAATCGAGATGAGAGTCATTTACCCTGAAGCCGAAGTACAACACTTTTTACAGGCTCTTTAGAATTATACAATTCAAATGGTAAATAATACATTAAATATCATTGTTAAAATTAATATTACTTTCCTTTTGGATGCTCGGTATTTTCTTTAATTGTATATAAACAGTTGTGCACCTGTCTGTCCGTCTGACAGTCCATCTGTCTGACGGTCTGTCTGTGGTCAACGCTATCGCCTACGCCGTTCAGACGATATTCTCCAAAGTTAATACTCCCTAATCGATTTATAGGAACTCAAGGCCTTCGGGTTTCAAACGGGTGTTTTGATTTTTGGGGGTATTTTATTTGAATCACCAACATTTTCAAAGTTTTCTCCAAAATGGCTCCAAATATTGTGCTTAAAGGGGTGTTATCGGATAGCGTAAATTGCATTGAATTATCTAAACCACTGAGTCATCTAATGAAGCGCACAAGAAGCTTCAAAAAATTTTGTTTCTCGTGTTGCATTTCTGCTGACTCACCTTCCGATTCATCTTTAACAATTTGTATTGGAGATGGTAGTACTGTTAACTTTTCACTTTAGAGAATTGGCAGATGGCAAATTGATAATTTACTGCATTTTTAGTTTTCTTAAATATCACTTTTATATTTGCAATACCAAAATATTTTATTTATAACATGATGCCTGAATCTTGCCCCGTTTTAAAAACGTAGTGGTAGGAGAAGTTGCCTTCTTCAACCATTTTTCTAGTTCCATTCCCACCCTCTCTATATTCAATCACAAAATATTTACAAAAACAATCTAACATATATCTTATTGTATCATACAATCTTTTAGTTGCATTGCTTCGAACAATGAATCAAAAGAAAACAAGTGTGTAATCGATTTACATTGGGATGCCGGTTGCCAAATTTAGACGCCGTCTTTCATGATGGGTTTCAAGAGAAACGCACAAGTAATTATATCAATTGGTTGACAGAAATGATCGTTTTCTTGGCAAATATAGTTGACAGTCCGCTTGTTTATTTAATGATTTTCACACATCTGATGAACCAGATTATATTTGCAGGCAATTATTTTAAACAGAACTTGCCTACCAAGTTTAAAATATTCCAAATTAATGATAATATTATGTATAGTATTACCTAAATGTATCATAAATGAGAGGTCGGGGCTGCTTAGAACTCAGGTTGCTATATCGGCCACGTACCGTCCATAAACCCTAGCTTTGTGTCACGTGTCTTTCGTGATCTAACGAACTTCACACAAGGTGGTAAGATGGTTCAATATGGTCAGTGCAACAATGGTAGAACTGTGATCTCGAATATATTTTACAACTTGAAAGATAACATTTTCTTAGTTCATTGATTGTTTTCTATAGTATTGATATGGAAAGAATTTACTTCTTACTTATTCAGCTAAAAAACACAACCGAACTAGATTTTTGGTTATCAGTTTTTTGATTTTTTTAGTTTTGTTCCTTTGTCGCTTCTATGTCGCTCTTCATTCACAAACCCCGTTCGGTGCTGGATGACACTTTTCAATTGGGGTCGGCACAGTTTCAACCCGTCCCATCCTGTTTGTCCTCAAAAAATGAAAACTATTTTGTTAATAATTTAATTCAAATCTAGAATAAAGACACCGGCTGTGCCTACAATTAAGAACTTTTCACAGTTTTTTTAAACTTCTTGGATAATTGTAGGGGAGTGCGGGGCTGCTTGGCAGTAGCTGATATATTTTTACCTAACTTTGGTTTAGTGTTGGTAAGTTTAATATATCATTGGAAACTGTATTTATTAAACTACCTTAACGATTTTTTTAATAGTGAGTGTTTAGCTGTCTTTTAGAGACGTTAAAGTCATTAAGTCGATATGGGCCAAGAAGTTTATAGGGTTGGTTGCCTCAAACGTTGGGTTATGTTCGTACTATACCGCGGCAGGTTGGCACACTACTTCCGTAAGATTGTGGAGTAATTACGCATTGTCAAACAGAATAATTTTTCAATGTATTAATAACAAACGCAAACAGGTTTATCACCGTTTAGTCAAAATTAAATATGTAAAAATACGCATTTTCCCCTTTTTAATGATTTTTTTTGTCTTCTTTCAAGCATTGAGTAAGTAACCTCATTTAATTGTTTTAAGTTTCACGCTACAGAGAAGCAGGTCAAATCATAAAGAAAGAAAAAAAAACTTTAAAAATAAATGTTACGATAACCCTTTAGGAAACAAAGCATCACCAATTGACACAACGTTGAAGCCCTTCCATCTCTGGTAAAAAAGTATTTAGCCCTGATGATGGAGAAATAAACTCCGAAAAGCAAACGCAGATAATATTGTCTTAATTTATGGACCGTTGACCCATGCACAACATGCTGGTCGTGAAATACAGGAGATAATTAGTTTCTTTATTGCAATGAATATTCGAATTTTGAGCAAAGATATTTCGTCCATTTCGAATCGCAGAGCGCATATATTTTATGCATAATATGGGCAGATTAGAGCCTAAACTAAAATCGTGCATGACTTCATGCTTAATGGGCAATGAATGGAAAACATGAGTAAATAATATCCATCATTCCAGTACGGTATTTCTACTCCCTGAGATTGTTGCTTAAGGTAAAATGATAATCAGCCTAGAGCAAGCCCAAGCATTCCATAGGAAAGTAATTCTGGAAGTAAAATGTTTTAATTAATGACGCCAAATGCTTTTGAATGATATAAAATTTCTCCAAGAGATGCTTCATTAACATGTATTGATACGCAACGATATCTTTAATAAAAGAAAATACGTCTGTTTCCTTAGAGTTTGATTTTCTAAATCCAAGTTGGCGACCCGAAAAAGCTTCGTACTTACTGAGAAAGGTTTCTCTTCGTACGTAGAAAAATATCTCTAATATTTTTGAGAAAACTGACAAGAGCGATACGCCAAGCGGAACAACAGTAGGGAAACTCTTGACTCTGAAACGGTTTTCCAAACGGGCCACCGCCCCGTCGAACGGCGCGCTGTTGCGGCTTCTACACAATGAGTAGTCTGCCTCATATGTGTCACCCGCTCGTGTAATCTCACGAACGGCGGGAGAACCCACACAACCAGCCTACTGCGTTGGCATGCAGTGGGCCGAAACCCGCGCTCAAACTGAAGCAGCTAACTAGAAATGCTAGGAAAAGTTGGCAACTTTTTGAAATGTCATGTTTGTGCACTTGAAAATATATCTGAAATGACACAAAATTTTCTTTTATAAAAATGGTAGGTAGAAGGGTAATAACATTAGAGCTTTCTTCATTAAGCGCAAATTTAAAAAAAATAGAATTTAACATTTCTCCCTGCCTTTAAACTTCCAGAACGTGGAGATTTTGACTACTAGTTGTGAGAATTAGAACAAGGATAATATATTTATTTTCCTTTATTGTATACTTAAAGGATAAACTGAAAATACCCTATTAATTTTTGCATTGTAATAACGTTACACGAACGGGTGCACTTTCCCTTTTTTTGGTCTCAGACATGTTCTTCTGTCTTCCCTTGCTTTCTTTCTTGTTTTCTAGCCTTCTTCTTGCTCAATGGTAGTTTGGTAGTTAGGTCAATGGTTCAAAAAAGACAATAGCCATAGTTTTTATAAAAAGAGTTGAAAAGATTATTTAAATCAAAATTAAAGTCTGACTTTAAATTCGTAATTTTGAAACTACGTACCTAGAACCTTGCAGTTCCCAATTTGAAGCTGTTCGATGAGACCAATCACAGATTAACTTCCGTGTCTCTGTTTGTGAAAATACATCACTGAAAAATGATTAATTTTGGCATTGGTTAATTACTCCATACTATCATGGAAATAGTGTACCAATCTACCGTAGGCCAGTGCAAACTGCCCCAAGTGACAGCCCCCTTCTTTAACTTGATGACTTTTAACAACTCTCAAGTTCACGCAAGTTCGTCAGTCAAACTTTCAAGAGTAAAAAATACCACAAAGTATCTCAATTCATGTACTTTCCATTGACAAAATCAAATTTGTCAAAACTAAACCAGAGTTGCATAAAAAAATAAAAACTACCTACTGATGCCAACGAGGCCCGGTCTTCCCTAATATTTTGACCCTTTGTCTTGTACATATGTAGAAACATAAATTCAAAAGCCCCCTTCATCCTTTTTTTAAGTAAATATTTTACACGTTATCTTTTATACATTTTATTAAAATTTAAATAATTGACTTTATCCCATTGTTTCGGGTTTTGAGTTTGACTGGTCAATTAGCTTTGGATCTTTGGATACATTTCCAGAAGATTACTGGCGTTTTGTGTCCAGATACATTTCCCCTACGAATGTCCTCATAAATGGACTGGAATGTCCCCATAAACGTATTTGACACTGAAGAGAAAAACCAATATTTTTCGGTTTGTTCTTTCAAAATTTTAACAAGAAATGAATTTATGAGTAGAGATCCTAGGGAACTTGACGTTAAGACCGATTTGTCATACATCGATCAAAGTTGAAAAAGTTTATAAATACGGAACTGAACGACATTTCGTTACCTCGAATTTAGATTTCAAAAATTACTGAATGACAATAATCGTTCGAGATATAAAATTGGTTTGATTTCTATGGACTTCTTTAGCACCACTTTCTTCGACTATCTATTCGGATACATCATTAACTTGCATTCCGATACCCATCTCCATCGCCCCTCGCTCGCCGCCGGCGCCGTCGCGTCGTCGCTTGGCTCATTGCATCGCCAGCACACGACGCGCCACCGGAAGCAGGACAGAGGAGTGAAAATGCTTCATGAGGAAGTACCGGAAAACATGCGGTCCTTTGTGGTGAATGTGAAGTCTGTCGGGAACGAGAATTAGTCGAGAAGATACACAAAGCCCGCGACACGGTCAATCGCGAAAAATAAAGCTGCGCCAAAAGGAGGTCACAGCGAGCGCGGCTACCCGTGCGCAATCTGGGGACGGAGGTGCAAAACAGCGGGGAGCATTACATGTATAGGTGCTGACGGCGCGTCGCCGCAGTGGACACGGAGCTAGCGAGCTGATCGGTCGAGCATCTAAGTTCACGCGCTGTGACTAGGTTCCCCGTGCAACATGTGTCGTGTGGCTGGCGTCGCCCGAGTTTTGCTGCTGGTGGGCTTCGCGAATCTTGTGTTGGGTTCGGCGATCCCGATGTGGGAATTTCTAAGCAGGACTGAAAAGGTAAGTGGCGAAGGACGCGTTGTCAAAACTAACAATCTCTCAAGAACCCGTTACGGTAGAACTGTAGTATGGGTGCCAGACTACTCGTGGGGGATGAGTGGTTTCTTAGTAAATTTTTGCGTGTATTAACGTCTCTCAAAACTGTATTTTGGACTGTTTCTAGTATGTAATATTAATTTTTTATTGTAAGAGGCATGGTACCTGTTGTCAAGGATATGGAACAATGCACTGTTGACATGTCAGTCCATTTGCGGTCACCGAAACATACTGGAAATGTCAGGAATCTACCTGACACACAGCTGTGATTAAAATGTGAAAGCTTTCAAAACATCTTTCGTTAGACCTTTGAGAAGTATAATGTTAGTGATATTGCAGTTTGCACATTTGCTGAGCTTTGAAAATAAATGCCGCAGTGAGTGTATTTAGAACGAAGGAGAATATCTGTGTCAGCTGCTCTCTGCTGTCCTAGTGTGGGCATGTAACCTAACTTGGTAGGCGTAAAAAGATCTGTCAAACGTTGTAAACAGTAATACAAAATATCACGCATATTACAATAGGACTAATCATAGGAATAAAAAAAGCCGTGTATTGAGTCCTAGCAATTGCTGGAAATGTTGAAAACACGGTAACTCCTGTAGCCGGTACTGTTCGTACTGATACAACTAATGAGCCAATTGTATTATTTATTTTTCCGGATGCAGTTACCGCATGATAATGAATGTAAGGAGATGATAAAAGGAGTGTTCTGGTAGCGCGACTACATGTGAACCAAGAGCATGACAGCTGAGGAAAATACGCACACCGTTGTTCAACGCGCCTGGGAATTCCCGCCTCTCCCACGTAATCTTATTATCTGACTCACGATTCTCCTGAAGAGTGGGCACTCGCCACCGTAAAACCACCTTCTATATTTACTGGCTATTTATAGAGAAATTATTTCTCATTCACAGAGTCAATATTGTTTCAAATCCAATGTTCAGTAATTATGCCGATTCAATTTACTTTCATTCATCAATGAAAACTTAATATTGTAAATATAATGTATGTATGAAATAATATACAAGAGGTGGATGAGCACTTTGTAACTTCATATAAACAATAATTGTAACTTTAACACGTGGAGTATATAATGTCTTGTCACATGAACAACTTTTCAACTACGGAACCAAAAGCGAGGTGTCAAAGTTTTCTTAGCCCATTCATATAAAAATTCACACTTTTTTCCCATTAGATCATAAATAAGGAAGACGCAGTATTCAGCAAACAGTACTGCAAACGTGAAAACAAATTAATTGCATTGAAAAGCATTGAATAAATAATTTGGCTTCAATTAGTACAGCAGAATCGATAAATTAGCACCTGAGTGTCACATTAAATTTTTGATGAAACGTATATTGAGGCGAATAAATATCCCGCTCGTGTAAAGTCAAACAGCCCATAAGCGTTGTTTCGTCGATAAGAATAAATTTTCGCCGCTGAAATGCAGCAAAGTTTTACAAATAAAATATAGGGCGTTGATTACGTAGAATCGCATGTTTTAGACCTGTATATACAATATGGATCTGATTTTTTTAACACAGAGATGTGATAAAATAATTTTCTTGTAAAGGGTATGTCTAATTTAAAAAGTTTAGTGGATTAGAGTGAAGCAAATTCTTATTCCATTGAAATTTCATTTTACTACAACACTTCCACAGAACAAAATTTTAGTACTTTCAAATGTAACACAAACTGCATTCAACTTAAACGCATACGTAATAATCACAAAATTTACACATTTTGGGATTTTTTTGATTTATTTAAAGGAGACATTTCCCTAAATTTTCCCCACAGTTAATAAAGATATGTATTTCTATATACACAGTATTTATGTATAATTATATTACTTGATATATTGGAATTGACAAAAACTGAAGAAATCCAGTGGTCTATGATTGTCAAAATTAATTGTTTCAAGAGCAGTTTTGCGAAATATTTATGTTCTTTTCTTAACACTATGAAGAGATTATTACCCTCCGACTTTCCTCAGCGTCGGTACTAGGTACTGCCCGCATCTTCTCAAATTCACTTTTTTCAAAAGCATGTTGTGCTAAATTAAGTAATTTAAATAACTTAATTTGTGTGAACAATTTAGTTTACTATAAAGATATCAATAACATTTTTTAAATTCAAATTCACTTTTTACACGATTGCTTTACAAGAACCTTGATCCGTGCCATGTCTCCCGGTGACAATATTAAACGATTACTTTGAGAAACACAGAACTATCAGGGGGGATAATGCCTTTTAAAACATATTTCATGACGGATGGATTGATTGATAATTTTGTTTCCGGGCCCGATAACTGTAATGGTCATTAGCCCCGTAGACCAAGTGCATGTTATGTCAGGGGATATGGCGAGGTTTGCCCCCTCCTGGTATTTACGCCAGCAGGACACTGCCCATCCGGGATGAGCTCTACGCACCCGACATGTTTGGGAGTGGAGAGCATATAAGTGCAAAGGGGAAAGAGGAAGGGACAAGGAAAAATCGTGCGTGGCCCGATTGTTAACGTACTTTTCGGGCAATTGCCATGTCTTGAGAAGATAAAGAACGGAAAACTACCGATCAGAGCAAATGGTCATTAGAATTCTCGTCCAAAGGTGTTCCATTGAAAACAAGTATCTCGAAAAATGTGCATCGAAGCAAGAAAAGTGGGTAACGAAAGTTCGTATCGATGGGACCCATCCAATGATACCAAATTTGACGCTTCACCCGTACCCCCCGGAGCTGGAGTAAACAAAAATATAGAAAGTTAATTGCGAATACCTGGTTTTTATTGCAGATACGTATTCTCTGAAAAAAGGTAACTTTTGTATTTAACGTTGTTTTTTTGTTTCGTTAGAGCGCTTCAATCGATAAAAATCAAAATAAGAAAAATGTTAAAAAACGATTTTTTCTCGGCTATACACATCACACAGAAATAAGAAAAAACATTATGGTTCAATAATTTTTAAAAGCAACTCAATGCTACCAATCGTCGCAATGTTGTTATCAATATTTTTAAAACTACTTTTACCGTGACTTGCAAAACAAAGCAAGGTTATCAATTCTTTCTGCAATTGACAACATTTTAGGTTTGTTATAAAATAATGTTACTAGTTTGTATTATGATAGTCAAGCGATAACTGAATTTTATAAAAATCTGTAGTTCATCAAACGGCCAGAATAGCGCTGCTGTCGGCACTTCCCATTCTTCCATCCTGGAGAGAAGGAAGAAGGCCCACTGTCACGTATCGTATCATAAGAGTAGCTTGTTGAAAATTATTGGACACTTTTTTTTCGATTTGATATGTAATTGTCGAGCAAAACGCATTTTCAACGATTTTTTTAATTATTTTGTTTCTAGTCAATGACGGCGTTATCACAAAAAAGGGAAAACGGTAAACACAAAAGTTACGTAATGTTTCTGGAGAATCCAAATCTACAATAAAAAACGAGAGTTCCCATTTCACTCGTTTATTTTTCCTCACCCCCACTCCCGGCGGGTATGGGTGGTTTTCGAGTTTGTTATTGTTGAATGGGCCCTGTCGATACGAACAACATTCATTACCCGCTGTTCTTGATACGATGTGCACTTTTCGAGATATATACAAAACCAATTTTAAATGAAACATCCAAAATAGCTTGTATCGAAAATTCGCCATCGTCGGAACTCGAACCAAGGACCTCCCGGCCAGAGACTTTGGAGTGCGAACAGCTGTTGAATACGATATTTTGTTAACAAAATCGACGTCTATTCTGTAAAATGTAAACAATTAAAAATAAATTTCAGGTAATATGTAATTTATCTCACTTTAAATATGATTTTATATTTAATGCTAGTGGACCCGGCAATGCTTCGCTACTGCAAATGTATTACAATTCACACACTACTAATCACGTATTTGTTTATCACATCGCTCTGTAAAATTTTAATACATGAAAGACTTTCCGACGGATATTGATTTGTTCTAGTTTGTCCTGGTTGTATTGATTTGTTCTAGATGTCCTGGTTTGGATATGGTTGTGAAGTATCATTTTATTAAAAGTTCTCCCTCAGGTTTGGGAAATCATTCGCTATTACACTGCCTCGGAGAAATTTGATTTCTTTGTCCGAGATAACGTGAAAGTAATAATTCTGGCCGATAATTCATAACCGCAGAGCATTATATGCAACGAAAACGCGCTTAATATTTGAGAGTAAGGCGTATTGCATTGAGATTCTGTTCGGGGACGCTTGAATGAGTATAAACGCATAAAATGATCAACGCGCGTCTATATGTGACGGACATACGCACATTCCTTATTCATAAATACGATCCAAATATCATAATTATTTGCATTATAAATTTGTTTTAAAAATATTTGTATGTATTGTTTCTTTTAATTTGTATATGTACTTTTTTGGCCAAACTGCCACTCAGCATATGCTTATTTGTAGAAATAATTCGGAAGATCGAGCGCAACAGTGGCGCAACCCTCCTTCATTAGAATATGAGATATTGTACTTTAAAGTTGACACGTTCCAGTTTTTCATATTTTTACTTTATATTCATTTTTTGTTAATAAGTACTTCCTCTGAACATTAGTTTTCTTTGCCATACAAGAAAATCTGTCATAAGATGAAATGAAATAGGGAAAATTAATTAAATTCTGTTACTTGACACACCATAAAATGGATTAGACCAGTGTTGCACAGAACTCCAACATTGATTGCCAAAAAACACATTTTTGATTTTAAGACAAAATAGAAATAATCTTTGAAATTTACAGAAATATACATTTATTTGCGAATTTGGTATTACAGAAATTAAAAAAAATATGATGACATGTGTAGAAAATTATTGAAAATAAATGTTATAAAATTACTGTTTGAACATAAGCAGTTTGATGCAAGCCACGTACGTCATGACCATATTAGAATATATAAGAAAAAAATATCAAGAACAAAAAAGACATAATTACCACAATATTGTGAT